CTAAGTCTTGCTGATAACCTCAGATTTAATAAGCTGACTGTACTGCTCTACAGATCAGCATATCTATTTTTACACCACTTTGTCGGAACAAAGATTTCTACAGCAATAAACAGCCCTAGATAACCTGATCAAACAGCTACTTTGTTAATGGACCACCTAAGTCAAGATTTAACCATTGAAGTTTTTCTCAGTTTGTCTGCCTGGCGTCCTAGCTCCTGCTCGCTAAGCCTTGCACAGATCGGCTGTGCTAGTGCGCTCTGTTCTCATAAGTAGCATTGGCCCCTTGCGAACAGCCAAGAGCACGTAGGAACCGTGATGGGGACAACAGAAAGCTGCAGACGCTTCATAAGTGGGGCACATTAAATCTTAGCAAGCAGATTGCTGGTGAATTCGTTCAGTCTGTAAAAGAAAACGCCACGACTGACTGGTAGACAAAGAAAAAAGATATATGAAACAGCAATCTCGTACTGACTTGCCGATGTACCCCGAGAACAGCGTTGATCGAGATGCGGAAGGGGAATTCCCTCCAAACATGGATCAAGATTTTTCATGGTTCATCTCATGGAAGCCGCAACTCCCTCCTAATCTGATACTTATAATCTTCCCTATTGCCTATTTCTTAACCGGCTTGCTGGCATTCGTCACAGAGATAGTGACTCTTTCTATCCACTTAGTGCCTTCCTCGCATGGCACCGGAATCTGGTTTGGTTTATTCAGCTTCGTCGCCGGCGCACTCGGCTGTGTTCTAACAGCGAAACGCACCAAAAGCATGACGGTTCTCTGTCTTGTCACCGACTCACTAGGTATCTGTGCATCTGTAATAGCAGCGGTATTCGGTAACTTCGGCACCTTTTGGGCCTTTAAAATCGACCAAGTGACCATCGCTGAGACACGCAATGAACAATTCGCCGTTATGGCAGCCGGAGTAATTGCTGTCTGCTTTTATGTGGTGAACGTGATTATCATCTGTGTTGCAATGTGTAAAAAGCATTGATAACAGCGTCCATGTTTATCTGCTGTTAACTATTCGACAATAGCGAGACCTCGGAGATCTGATCTTCTGCAGGCTTATTTTTCCCAAAGGTATTGACTAAGCTTAGTAAATATGCATAAGTTGATCTCTATTCGCATACAACTAATAATAACACCTTTTATTTAATGCTATTATCGATGTTATAGCTGAGCTAACCTACGCAAGTGAAATGCAATGGATAATTCTATATTGTAAATGAATGCGATACAAAAGTAACTATAATTTCGTCAATTTATGCATAAGTATCTCATCTAAGTGAGTTGTCTCCAAATATCTAACCTCATAATTAATCAAATGTGAATATCTTTCGCTAAGACCATGATGACCGTATTGAATAGATGAAATCTGTGAATTCATATTTACCCTCTATTGGTCTGTCATGCTATTGAGTGAATGAAATGCGTCCCTAATAAAGGAGGGATAATAATCTGAAAGAGATATGCCTGATGGACTATGGGAGTTAAGATCTTTACAAATCCCTATCTAACTGTGATCATGTGATTACAGATTAACTAGCTGCAAACTACAAGGTTATCATTGCAAGCTTTGCAGCAAATGGCTGTAGTCATTCCATAAAGATAGGAGTAGGAGGCAAATTTTCAGCAAGGATCATAAAGATATGCTATTCGTGAAAGGAATACTTTGTTTACCACCTCTTATAAACTTTATTTAAATTCAACTAAATTAGTAATTCAATACATAGAGGCGTAATATCGTATTCGGTTTTTATTGCCTGTAGCGCCACTTGCAAGGTTTTATAATTGATTTTGGAGTACTTTTCACTTCGTTAGAAGAGGCGGGCGAAAAGGATTGGTAAGTTGGCCTCACCGGAAGCTTTACGGGGACTGTCTTGGAGCTGTGACTGTAGATTTGTGCGAATAGGTCCTAAGCGCACTGCTCTGCGGCCCCGATGAATACTTGTTGAGCTTCCATCCGTCATGTGACGGATGTCGTCAGAGCAGGACACCATGCTTAAGGATAGTTGACCAAAAAACACGAGGACAAAAAAAGTTGCCGGCTTCAAACCTACTTACTTCGTATAGTACTATTTGGTCCACTTAATTAGACATCTCATGTTTTGAACAATCTCCCTACAGCTTCCGGTGAAGTGGAATTATGAATCCATTCCACCCGCCTCTCCAAACGAAATGAAAGGTACTCCCCCATCAACCTATCAAGGGATTCTTCGAGACCAAGTTTTTCTACAGGTTTTATAACTGCCCTAGTGTTAACGTGAGACTTTTACAAGAATGACACCCAGCTCTGATGATGTCCATCATATGATGGACGAAACTCACAGTTTTTCCCAAAAACAAGGGAGGAAGTCTTGTGGACTGCGTTAAAATGAATATCGTTTAAAAGCCATACGGCTGCAGTACAAGATTCATCCGTCCTTATTTGGTGAGATCGACTAACGGATCTCTTCTTCATTTACTTTCATACGAAATGAATGTCCCCCTAAAAATGCAGAGGTCACGACATTTTCTCAAGCTATTCCTTCTCATGAGTACCTTCGAATGATTAAACTTTTTATTCACTTTATTCATTTACATTTAATCCGCCTTGGAAAGCTCGTGTGTTTTAAGACAGCTAGATTCGACTAGATTTCATCTTCTTCCCTCTTTAAGCTGAATGATGAGACCAAAGTTTAAACTTACTTGGATTCACAGAACCTGAGTAAAACGTTGGCAGCTAACTTAGATTTATTATTTCGACATCTGAACGCAGACCGACAAATTGGAACATCTTTTTAATTTTTCCTCTTGTCTTACCATCGAAATAAGCTAAAATAGTATAATAGATAGGCCAGATTCACTTACCTTCTTTTTAGGAATTAATCAAAATGAAAACACATTCAGCTTGCAATAAGTATATGTTTTTAAATCCATTGATAGACATGTCAGGCCTTTCTAAGGCAAAACATTCGAATGAATATGATCCAAGGTCGAAAGAGCTGCATATTTCAGGTGCGAATTCAGGGTGAGCTAGACAAACGCATTTGCCGAGCTTTTACTTCGTATAGTACTATTTGGTCCACTTAATTAGCCCTAAAACGCATTAGTCATAATAATTTCCCATTTCGGGCAGTTATTTTTTATGAAGAGTCGATGTGCACTAGCATGTATGTAAGCCAAGCTACACAGACCATAGAAGTAACATTGGACCAAAACCCAGGTATCTTAATAAGTACAAATTTATATAGGTATTCAATAATGGTGATGACTAGTTTCGGAACAAGCTAAGCATATTCTACTAGTGGTGGTAAATTGTATAGGCAACGAGGCCTAGTTATAGGATTATGTTTGTCTCCAATTTTAGCATATAATTACACGGCTCAATTAAAAATTTGCCTAATACAAGAAGCACTTTTGGTTTCTAAATTATTAGTTAGGTACATAGATGACTACTTTACCGTATGGCAAAGTGACAAAGTTAGCCTAGGCTGAATATCAATTTAATATGAAACTAGACATCTTGTCAAGATGTTCTAGTTAGCAGGGGGAG